ATGTTGAAACAAGAAACCAGACGATTTGGAAATTAGACAATCCATTTACAAACTACGTGGTTCTGGTTTACAATGATCCGTAACAGCTATATTGTAAACTTAAGCAAAACATATAATAAAGAAAAGATACATACAACACATGCAAACACAAAATATGTAAACAAGCAAAAAATAAGTGAAAAAATGTGCTAAACTGACCAAAGTGGGGCGAGTATGGTGGGAGACATCTAGTGTGTGAACAGTATATGTGCGCTGTTAACGCTGTTATATATATATATATATATATATATATATATATATATATATATATATATATATATATATATATATATATATGTAGAGAGAGAGAGAGAGAGAGAGGAGAGAGAGAGAGAGAGAGAGAGAGAGAGAGAGAGAGAGAGAGAGAGAGAGAGAGAGAGAGAGAGACAGACAGACAGACAGACAGACAGACAGACAGACAGAGAGAGACAGAGAGAGAGAGAGAGACAGACAGACAGACAGACAGAGAGAGAGAGAGAGAGAGAAGAGAGAGAGAGAGGAGAGAGAGAGAGAGAGAGAGAGAGAGAGAGAGAGATACTAAAATAAAGAGGTCTTTGCGGGAAGAGAGGACTAAATACTAAAAACTGTGTTATAGAAAAGACATGAGTGATATGAATGTTCTCTTATTTAACGATCGTCTGTACATGCATATACATGGCATGACCATGGGCTCCCAACTGGGCTCTTTCTAGGTAATCATAATATGAATAGAATAGACGAAACGGAGCCCAGGGTAAGGGATGCAAATAAAACCGAACAGCGGCAGAAACATCCTCCAGCTGATGCATATTCCTCTCGATATATTCCAAAGCTTCCTTCGCATGAATAAGTCCGTTTCCCGTTTCCCCTGTTGCTTTAAACAACACGCCTGTTTTAGCGGTTGTTAATAACGCATTTCCCTTCGCAGCAGCACATTACCCATTCCAGCATGGCTTACGTTGACAAATAATCCGCTTAAGTGTTCAGTTGCAGGGAGCTTATCAAGCCGCGAATACTTTCCTAGTCATTTACTTTGTCATTTTCCAGTGGCGCTTTTTCTTGCAGATCTGGAGACGATTAATCAAGTTGGAGATTCTTTATTGAACGATTGGGTTCATAATTAGTATTGCATCGTAAATTTGCAGGATTTCGGAGATTTTATTATTTTCTTATTTCGTTTGCAACTCCTCCCTGTCCATTGGTCGGGAAACAGTCGATACCAATTTAATTAGATTGTCATGCAGACTTATGTTATATAACATAATAGTGAAGTAAAACGATACAAATGTCTTTTATCCCTCTAATGCAAACAAAAAAGAATATATATATATAAAATCTCATCAAATGACTACAGCACAACACAGCGGGGAAATGAATAACACAGCTTTATAGTCATGCAATGTATTTTTTTCTATTTACGTGTGAAATCTGCAAATCCTAAATGATTATGTAACAGTATTCCGAAATGGTATTTTATATGAAAGTACATTGTGTGATTATACGTAAAAAGACTTATACTCCTAATTTACTCGATTCCCATTGCAGCTGATATAATCATTCTGGCTGAACCGAACAACAAATACGGTATAAATTCATAAAAGAGTATTTCACCCGCATTATTCGAATAACATGTACTGTAAAATCTAAACTACATCCGAAATGACACGTACGTTTTGTGTTTAGCAAGGAGAATAAATATCATAATCAATATTCAAGTTTTTTTTTCTATTGTTATTTTTTTCACATTGCTTACTGGTACCATTGTTATCTTTATTTTTTTTTCTTTTATTTGCATACAAAAACAAAAGAACAAGGGGAGGAAGAAAGAAGCAAGAAAAGATGAAGCATGGCGTCACATAACAGGGTGATGGAATAATTAATATATATTTTTTTCTGTTCTTAATATCGTGCAATTAATATTCCCCGATTGCTATGACGAGTATTCGCCAAAATACAGAAACAGTTTTTTTTTCACAAAGGCCAAACTTCTCTGGTTGAATGTTTAAGACAGGCGAGTTAAATTCGTAACCTCTCAAAGGCAAATTTTCATCTGAACTGCCATCTTGGTAGCTAACAAAGGCTCATACCTGGCATATACGTAGTGTTTATTTTATTTAGATTTGATACGGCCATTAATAGTATATGAATATACATTGATCATGAGTTCCAACAATTTCATTAAAATTGTAGAGGTAGAATGGATCGGGGTAGAGGATTGAGATACTGGGAGTAGTGAGAAAAAAACTCGTCGGCGCGCTTCCTGTCTGAGAACTGCTACCTCAGATTCGAGCTTATAAGCTTGGCAACTCCTAGAATACATTGTGGGAACCACCACAATTGGCACACGAACGTGACTGAGCAAGGTAATCTGAACGGTCATGCCATTGGGGAGACGGAAACAGTTCTGTCACAGGGATTAAGAGAGGAGTGAGGTTCGGCAGAAAGGGGTTTGCCATGGAGATCAGTCAGGAGAGAAAGGACAAGAACTTGGGACTCAGATGGAACTGACAAGGCGTGAATGATCGGAACGACCGCGAAAAGAAATGCGTACTTGTTGATCTGGAAGAGAAGGGTGTTATCAGAGTAAGGAACTGTAGGAAAAATCGCAATGAACTGATCCCACTCGGTTTGGCCAAAGAGTAGCCAAAAGGTTTGCAGAGGTGGAAACAGAAAAAGGCCGAGGATGGGAGGAAGTGGGATGGTGTGGTGTGAGGTTGTAGTGTGGGGTGGAGAATCAGGATGAATAGTAATGAAGGGGAGGGGATAGACATTGAAGAAGATTGTGCAGTAGGAAACAGAGTGGAGAATGCTGGGAAAGAGGAGAGAGTGCATTCCGATGGTTGGCTAATGACCTGGGTGGATGGGTCTTAATGGACAGAGTAAGCATCGAGGAGGGAGTATTAGTATCAACGCTCAGCGCCGCGATCAAAGGAGAGGCAACCAGTGAAACCAAATTTAGGTGAAGGGGCAAGCCTGAATCCTAACAATAGTAAAAAAATCTTCAAGACTGGCCACGGGAAGCCTGAAATAGGCGAGAAAAGAAACGGCCCATCCCTTAGGGTCCTCATGAGGGGTACGGGCGAGGCGATTAACCAAGGGAATGCCGTGGCCAAAGCTCCCGGAAGCTGATCATGACACACAAAGCCAGCCCTTCATCCTTTCAGCCCGGCTCCCACACCTTAGGAAGGGGACAAAGGAAGGGATGAAGAATAGAAGGAAACGGAGAGGGGAGAAGAAAAGAATATGCAAAATTAGTTGAGGCGAGGGCTGAGGTTCAAGGCAGGGGTGATCCCGTGCACTGAGCCTCGTCTTCTTTTAAGACAGTTTTCTTACTCTACTGAATAATGATCTACAATTCTGCAAGATAATAAAACATAAGCTACTCGGCTTATTTGAACTCTTTCCAGTCAGATTTTAAATATTTCTTAACGGCATGATTACAAAGAACAAATTTTAAGGGGTTTTCCGTTTGATATATTCATTTTTATTGGGCCACTCTTTTCTCCACACATTTTTAAACCTTGCCTTGTGAAAAGCTCTGAACCACCATGTAGAGCGAGTATCGTTCCACAGCATATCTATCAGTACATTCCAGTGTCATATGGCCTGTCAAAATCTAAACTCTGCGTGTCATAATGGCTTTTTTTGCCCCCCCCCCTTCCCCTCTCCAGCCCAGCCTTGTGTATATCACA